CCCTTGTGATTTTTCTACACAAACAGCTCTCAAACAGCTCACTTACTTTATCTTTTTTTCTTAAAAAAAAAACAAAAAAAAACCTAGCTCATTTTCCAGAGAAAGTTAATTCAATTTTAGACCTAGTAAATTTGTTTTTACCATTATAGAACAATGTTTTTTACAAATATTAGACTGGAATCAAGATGTTTTTTTTTTAGAATGTTACTAATTTGATTTCAATACAAAGATCTTTCAGTATATTTTTATGTAGCGTTTAATGGAGGAGTTTGATTTTCATAAAAAAAAAATCACAAAACCATTACCTTTCGGTCAAAACACCAAAAGAAGAAAGATGTTACAAATAAAGAAATTGTGTGCGATCTATGGTTTTTTTTTTTTTTTTTTCAGTCAGGTGAATATATATATATATATATATATATATATATATATATATATATATATATGGGGCAGCTTTTAAGCACATAGTTCAGCCTGAACTATGTGTTTAAAAGCTGACCCATAAAATAGGAGTGGAGCCTCCTCTACTTTTAATTAGAAATCTCAGCAGTTTTTTATTCGTTGTAATGAGATGGGCAAGTACATCGATATTTTTCCACATAAATATTGTTGTAAATGTAATAATCATTTTGATATTTTGATTCATCTCTTCAGTTGTATGTGTTGATCTTCATTTGAACAATGATTATTTATCTTGTGCTAATGGTATAGGGATGGCAATGAATAGGATATGAAACATATATTCGTTATATCCAACTTAATAAATATCGATTTAAAATACTTAAATAGATGGCAATGAATAGGATATGAAACATATATTTGCTATATCCAACTTAATAAATATCGATTTAAAATACTTAAATAGACAATGAGATAGGTGAAAGTAAAAAAATATATACTCATTAATATAGTTTTAAAATGTCGGATATAAAACATATTTTCGTTATATACAACTTAATAAATATCGATTTAAAATACCTACTCGACAATGAAATAGGTGAATGTAAAAAAATACATAATCATTGATATAGTTTTAAAATATAGATGCTAACTATTTTTTTAAAAAATAATTTAATACATAGGGATCCGATTCTACAAACTTTATATATAAAATAGAGACCAATTTTTTTTTTTTTAATGAAACCTTTGAGGCTCGAAAATTTATAAATAAAGAACCAAATTGTAAGAGAATATTAATTGTAAATATCAAAATAACTTTTTGAAAAATTACAAAAACTAAAAAGAAATATATAGATAAATAATTTTTAACAAATATTAAATAGATGTTAAATGAGTAGATAAGCCTATTATAAATTTAAAGGGTAATTTTTTAAATAAATATAGCAGAATATTTTTTTAATAAATAAAATAAGAGATTGATTTAATGGATCACATATCTAATTTATTGCCATTCCGTAATGGATATTAAATGAGTAGATAAGCCTATTATAAATTTAAAGGGTAATTTTTTTAAATAAATATAGCAAAATATTTTTTTAATAAATAAAATAATAGATTGATTTAATAGATCGGATATCTAGTATATTGCCATTCTCCAATGGTACTTGTAAGTGAGATGTTCAAACTAATGCCGTAACCTCATGTTCAAACTAATTTTGTCACACAAGGCTCCCATTTTCTAAGCCCCGTGGGTTTGACCTTTGATCCACCAATAATACTCACTCGTTTCAAAACTTCGAGCGACAATGCCCGAGGCAAAGCATAGTGTTACGCTCCGCCTAAAAAAGGAATTTTTCTAGAGATTCTAAAGAACACTAGATAAGTCTAGAAGCTTCTGAAGAGTATGGAACAATGGAGAAGCCTCTAGATAAGTCCGGAAGCTTCTGAAGAATATGGAGCATTGGAGAAGTCTCTAAGATGATCTAGAGAATTCTAGAGAGTCCCTCACTAATCTAGCATGTGTATATCTAGATAGTTCCTTGTAAATATCTAGATAGGATATTTCTAGAGAACCAATTGTAACCATTAGATTAAATAGATTCTAGTCATCCATTGAGGAGGTGGAAGGATATAAATAGGTGAGGCCCTCACTTGGCCAAGACACCTAGACATTCATAAACTTAAGAGAGTGTGTCTTTAGAGTTGTAAGCTTTTAGAAAGCAATACAAAGAGTATTTATATCTCTTGTGTGTGTCTTTCTTGCTTAGCAACTTTGTGTGAGGAAGGTCGACTTAGTTTGTGTTAGAGAAGAAGAGAGCCAAGTGCCGCACGTGAGCTTGGGAAAAGCCAAGTCCGTGACAATAGGCTAAGCTCACCGCCGAACGAGGTATGCAGCCTTTTTAAAAGGCTTTCGTGTCGTGCTTTCTTAATTAGCATTCGGATTGAAATTGTTGAGGTCTATGAGGATTAATTTTTTGGTTATGAGAAAACATGTCAATGAAATATTAGCAGATAAATTAAAATGTTAAGATTTAGTATTATGATAAATAGAAATGAGGACCATCAATCAAGTAGAAAAAAGACTCGTTATTAGTTAATATTGTGATATATAAAAATAACAATCACTAAGTAGAATAGAAATAAATAGAAAAAGATATGCTTTGAGTTAATATCATCAATTAAGTAGAATAAAAGAAAATAGCAAGAGGCATAAGAATAGGAGTAGACAATGCTATTAAATTGCAAGTTGAATTGACAAGTAGACAAATCGTCAAAATTTAAACAAACAAACTTCAAATGTTGCCTAATTTGAGTGCGATAATTTTTAAGAGAGACAAATATATTTTAGATTCAATTAAAGAAGCTCTCTTATAATGGGTGAAAAGTTGATATTTATATTGAAATAAAAATGACATTGACCATTAGGATTTCATCATGTCATCCACGTTGGACATTAGGATTTGAGTTAAATAAAAAAGACTCAAAAGAAAAATAGACTCAAAATTGCAATATACATTGAATCCGTCAAAATATGCATTATGTGACTCAAAATTCACGTTAGATGAAGTTTATTGTTAATCCAATTCATTTGTTGTATAGTTTAGATCCATGCAAAAAAAGAAAAATGAATTACTATATAATTAATTAAATTGCTTAATTTATTTTTTATGGAGAAATCGATGATATATACTCACCATCTTTATTCTTGGCACCTGATTCTTTTTTCTTTTTCTTTTTTTCAAAATTCAATTTTTTAATTTAGGTTTATTTTTTTATTTTACCAATATTTCTTACCAAATTAAATTAATTTCATGATTTTGTATTTTGAAGGGCATTTATGAAAATTACACGAGAAGCTATTGAAGTGTACCATATCTGTAAAGTTTGAAAACTGTTGTATTCAGTATTATTGTTTATTAACTATATATATATGCTAGTGTTTAATGAATTTGAGATTTTGAACAGTCATCTCTACTTTGCGTAAGTGATTAGCGTACGTGATTAGTAATTCAAGCTACTTCGTTTTTGTTTTTTATGCATGTATATATTTGCTTTCTACTTCTTTCGGTTACGTAAGGGCCCAAACCCAACAAAACTAACTTCACAACCTAAACTCATCTAGGCCCTTCTGAGAGACTCAAAAGCTTCCATAAAAACCCAAGAGCATTGGTATAACATATACTACTTGCATTACGACTGTACCCCAAAATTCGCAAGTACATCTCCACAACAATTAGACTCGGGATAACTTCCCGTCGAAGAATTTCGACCTTCCAGTCTCTGTGTACACTACTCAATGTCCAGTGATCAGTTATGACTACTTTTTTTGCATGGGACGGGTACTACTGCTGTTTGGATGATATGATGTGAAACTTGAATGCAAATGAGTTCGGAGAAGTTTCCTTGGAGAAAAAATTGGATACGATGACTAATTAGTTTTCTATTAGGATTATAAATAATACTTTTTCGTATTTGTTCTCGAGTACTTCCGATGGGCTTGGTTTGTGCTGGACTTCTTGGCTAGGTGGCTCTAATGCTCATAGTCACTACCTGTTTTCATAATATTGGATCTAAAGTGAGTATTGAATTCGCCATTCTAGCGATTCAGTCAGACCTTAGAGTTTCATAATGTTATGTTTTTCCCGTCTATTTACTCATCCTCCAAGTATTTATTACTTTTGGCGTTACATCTCCAGGACAGTACTAGTGTCTTTTACATAAGCGAGAGGACTCCACCGCCACTGTCAATACAAGATTGTTATTCCTTGATCAGTGAATTAATTTCGTCATATGACACCAACGAACTGCAACAACAATTATTAAGTTTAGTAACAGACTCAGTGGCAAGGGAGTAATTTCATCCAACTTCTGGGAGTAATTTTTATGCATTGAGAAGCTGGTAGGCTTTATTAATATTTACAATGTTGGTACATTTACAAGAAGCGAGTCAATTAACAAATGGATGGATTGAAAATTTGAAACTGCAATTTGGATATAAATTATGGAAAAATTAATCTGCCTATTTCTCTCGCATAGTACTCGATTACCTACGCATACAAAATTAATTACATATTTACAGAAGTAGTATGGTTTTTATATAATTAATTAATTAGTTGACTAAGCAGGTGCTGATTGACATGTATGTAACTTGCTGCGTGACAGTCCATTTTATTTATACAGCAGTACCAGCTAGCTACATACAACATGGATTATAATTTTTTCATTTCATTTGCTAAGAAAATAAGAGATAATTATTTGTTGATATTAGAGCAATATGGCGTTGGCTGTCTCACGTGTTCATTTCAATTGATTTGAAACCATTTTTTTTCAGTTAAAAAATGAAACCAATTTAGTGAATCTGGTTGACTCTACTCTCTAGCTAGCTAGTACACCCATTTCTTTCTGGCTTGGGCAACAAGAAATCTGTGGGCCCAAAAATACTCCCTATAAAACTACCCTCAATGCATCTCACCCCCTCACGCCTTTCAGTCCCTCTGTGCTACTCCATTTTTTGCAACAGAAACCATCTCCTTCACGTCTCTCTGCTTTTCTGTTACTACTGCACTTGCTCATTACTCCCTCTATTTCAAAAACCGAAAATGGAAATCACAGTTGAATTGATCAACAAATCAATCAGAGACCCAGACTACCGATACGACGGCTACACTGTTCAAGTCGAAAACCACCGCATCCTCACCGTCGTCTCCGGCTGGGACCACTTTGTCAGCAAGTGGATCAAACAAGTCTCCAAAACCAACAACTCTGCATCCAGCTCCTCCAGCAACTCTCTCATCGTCGGTGTCTCTGCCGATAAGCAATACGTTTCCGGCAGAAAAGGCTCCGAAAACTACAATCCCTACAATCTCCTCCAGCTCTGCGTTGGCTCTCACTGTCTCCTCTATCACCTCCCGAACCCTTACGATTACTGCACCTGTAAGGCTCTCCGAAACTTCTTTTCCAATCCTAAAGTCATAGCTGTAGGGGTTAACATAAAACATATAGCTAAACAGTTAGAGGAAGAGCATGAGATTAAGTTTAAGAATGTGATAGATGTTAGTGAGCTAGCTATGAAGGAGGTAGGGAAAGAATTTGTGAATTTGAATCTAAGCAAGTTTGATTTGGATAAGTTGGCTAAGGCTTTGTTAGGGAAACACAAGGATGTTGTGAGGCCTGAGGAGAAAGTGGAGTGGTTTACTAAGACTCCTTACTGTTATATGTATGAAGATCCAGAGATGACTGATGAGAAGGTTAAGTTAGCAACTGTGGACGCTTACCTCTGTTTTTTGATGGGTTGGGAGCTGTTTTATAATGTGGATGACTGTAAGCTTAACGTTGCTCGTGCTTTAAAGGATAGGATGAAGAAGGAGAGTAAGTATCCGAAGAAAATTCAAAGGAAACAGAAAACCAAGATTTTGAAGAGATCAATGATGATGGATTACACGGTGGATGATACGTATTACTAGAGTAGCTGGCTATCAAGAGGGTTGATGATTGGATTTTAATTTTGGAGTTGCTGCTTAATTTCTTTAATTTGTTACTATTAGTGGAGGAATATTTTGGCAAGTGCTGATATATGCATGACTGGCTACTATCTCTACCTTTGATCAGTCGTATTTCATTTGTAAATGCTGAAAATTAGTATGTGATTAACGAAAGAATGCTATGGATTTGGACTTTTACAACTATGAGTGCACGCTTAAATTCTGCTGTTCAATGTTTTCATTTAGTTTTCTTGGACGTTTGTTTGGATGCAGGGAAAATTAATGGTTTAAAAAATGATTTGGCTATGGGATAATTTTCTGGGAACATCATCACTAGAGCACACTTTGGGCCTCAGCCTTTTTACGATGGGTGGATTCACTTTAAATAATGGATACTTTGCGCATCCACTCAATACAGAACAGCACAGAACAGGGTGAAAAAACGTGCAGCTCTGTTGGGCCCAATGGCCCAAATACTTGAGTTCCTGACCAAGTTGATCTTGAGCAGGTAACTTATGAACAAAATTGGCTGTACAAAAATCAGAAATAGTATGTCAAATGTAGTTGTTGATGTACATGCTAATTTGAAAGAAATAGAAAAGAAAGGGATTGTCTGTTCGTAGAAGAAAACTTTAGAGGCTCGGAACCATATCATGGACGGATACCAAGCATTCTTTAAGAGGAAATGCTGAGTCTCCGGAATATGCGAACACCCAAGTCATGAAGGCTGTGCTTGCGCACTGTTTTCTTTATAAGAAATCTTTAAAGCAAATCTGTAACGTCTTTTTATACGCTGCCAGTGGGATTAGAACTGGAGACAGCGTCAGGAGGTTTTTATTTGACATTGACCTGTCTCACACCCGTATATACGTACGCATATAGTCCCCAATTTCTGCAGACTCAGTATCGCCTTAAAACTGTTATACCAAGAAGTTGCCTTCTGCAATAATCGGAAGAGGATATCAAAGACAAGTTAGAGCATTGCTCATAGTTCCAACCTATATGAAAGATGGTTCTGGGGATCACAAAGAGGCAGATATGGAAGCATGGGAGAATTTTTAAACATAATTTTATGTCGACTCTTCAAACAAGAGCCTGCCCAACACCTGTCACCATATTAGCTCGTGCTTTTGCAACTAGAGATAGTGAAAGGTGCAGAGCAGTTCTTGAGAATAAAACTAGAAGATGTATATCAGGAGGATGAGAGGAAATGCAGAATAGCCGCTGAAACCCTCGTTGAGATGATTAGAACAGACAGCAACAGAAAGAAAGAGCTGCTTCCAGAGTAGATGGCAATGGCATCAGCACTCAAAAGACAATATGTTCAAATTAAAACAAGGCTTCTCCATTTCACCAGTTTCACAACATCAATTAGATTAAGCCAAATCAAAAGGCACCAATTGTAAACAGAAATTTCTAAATCAATCAGTTCCCTTTCTGTGTTTCTCTTGTACATAAAAGAATGAAGTACAAATGTTCCGTATGCAGCCTTGGTCAATGTTGTTTTATCTCAAAAGGGAGTACAGCCCCAAAACAACCAAAATCCTAAATACAACTCATTCTGATTTCAAGGCATGAAAATATTCTTACTTGCTTGGGATAGATGTCCTAATCCCGCACTTTATTAAATATAAAAATAAATATAATTTAACAAATGTCATAAATGTATCAATAAATCGATCCACTTAGCATCTCGCCATCTCTCTCTCACCAACTTCACCAAACTGATAATTCTTGTAGACTTTGAGTAATAGTCCCCTACACGGTACAACTGCTCCAATCTTAATGCAAGCCAAGAAAGCACCTGAAAGCTTTCTATGAAGGCTATATACCTCATCTGGTGGTGGGGTTAGCCTGTGCCTTAGCATTGTCGCCCCAAGGTTTGAAACACTTTGCGTGATATTAGACGATCGGAAGTCATACCCACCAGGATTAGAGAATGGCAGTCCCACAACAAAACCAGCCTGAACATGAGCTTCCAGCATTACCTCTGATTCATCTCCTGCGAGGAACCCAAGTCTTTTTGACATTTCAATCACACCATCCTTTTCACCATTTGCACATGCTACAACCTAATCATATATTCAGATCAAAGCCCTCAGCACAAACAACATAAAAGATAAAGTCAAAACCCAAAAATGTTCACAACAGCATTTGCGTGAAAGAATAGTAGGTTGAATTTCTCATTTTGGTACTCATGTAATGGAATGCTGAGAACTGCAGAAAATAAACCAAAAGAAGAAGATGCTCCACTGCAACATATGGGTCGGCTTTTTATAACATATAGTTCAGGCCAGTGAGGCTTCGTGAAGGCAACATTTAGGATAATTGCCAAGCTTATGAAGTATCGTAGAATTATTTTTTTAAATTACTCTGCCAGTGGTGCCAGAGGATTACCATTCTTAAATAGTCATCAACAAATCTTTTAGGATAATCTCGAGCTGCTCCAAAGTCAATGAGATTGATGGTGTTTGTGGCCTCATCATACAAGAAATTACTCCAATTAGGATCCGTCTGCATAAGAAGCGTGCAACACAACAAAAGGCGACCATGAGATCCATGCGGGATCAACCAACGGATGCATGAAAACTTAAGGCATGCTTGGAGAGCACAAGCCAAAAAGAAGATAAAAAGTCAATACTCATATAACTTGTAAGGGGGGAAAAAAAGAGGCCTGCCTGCATGAAGCGGAAGACAAACAATTCCATTAATGTGAGTTCTAGCAACTTTTTCCCAACATAATTACGAGTTTCTTGGTTCAGTGATGCTACTTTATCAATTGGAATTCCTGCAGCAAGGACAAGCTTTGCATTAAAAGACGACCAAAAATAAAGTTTCGTGATCTACAAAGAAATACACAAAGGCACACACACAGAGACATGCATGCTTGTATGTATAATCTACATTGTATGGTAGGAAAGCTGTCATAGCATAATTTTTCCTTTGCGAAAAAAAGAAAATCTACACGTAGCTATATGCTAATATGAACTCAAACCATGGTAAGAATCAGTTGTGCTACTCAAATTTGTATGAATTGGAAGCTAAGTATCAGAACACAAATTGCAGATTGTTAAAAGTGATTTAAGGTTTATCTTTGGGCTAATCTATTCATGCTTTAAGAAACTTTTAGTTCAGGTTCCATTGTCCATTGCTAATCTAAATCAGCTCTTTACCAGCACCTTCTGGTCATCAAATGTCAATAATGTTCTAGAAAAAGAAAGGATAGAAAACAGAGCAGCAAATGAGATCTTAAAAGGTGAAATGCATGATAAATCTAAGACAGACAAGCGCTGCAATGCAAAATGACCAATCATTTATGCACACCAAACCATCAGAACTGTCAACTAAGTTGAAGTTGTCTTCTGTACAGTATGCTAAACTTTTTAATAACTTTAGCTTTCAAGATTAGATTGCACCAGCCTATCTAAGCAGGAAAGCAACACAAAAGACAGTGAAATTACCGGAAACAAGCTCTGTAGTTAAGACTCTTTTACTTGAAAGCTCATCCACAACCAATGGGACATAAAACCCCTTAGCATCGGACAGCAGATTACGGAACCGTTTCTGGTTGGTTGCCTCCAACTCATAGTCACATTCACGAGACAATTCTACTTTTGCTACCTTGAAAGAAATGCGCAAAGAAGATTAGCATCCAATCCGAACAATTAAGAAAAAAGTTTGTGCAGCAAGGAGCAACGAATACCACAGAAAAGCATAAACTATTGACTAAATAAAAGGCATGATTTGCGACAGATCGGACAACCATCAAAGGCAAAGGCTTCAGTTTGAGTCTCACAAATTAAGGACTACAAACCACTCAATAGCATGCAGCAACAATCCAAACACAATAATGCAAATATATGGATAAATACAAATACACACCTTCATAGCTCTGTCAAGAAATAGTCCTCTTGGAATTAGGTTTGTATAATCTAATAGACGTTTCACATTCTCAATGTCGCTCTCGATACTATCTGCAACACCAGGGTACTGAATTTTCATTGCAACCTCCATACCATCCTTTGCTACTGCTTTATGCACCTATAATTTTTTCAACAATAGTCAAGCTGCAGTAACAGTATGCAGCATGCAAAAGCATGTGGGGAAGATATTTAGGTTTGCATAATAAATTTACATTACAAGACATTTAGTGTAAGCTTCTAGAAGGATTTTATAAATCAGAGCCAGCATTTCAAATATGAATAACATAAATGTGTTTCTCGTTCAACTTCCTGTTAGCTGGTAGAGTATGAACTGAGACCGATGGGATTGGGCAGCCAAGTTGTGAATGAACTGGAAAAGAAGGGAAGAGACGGGGGAAGAAAGGACAGGATTGGCAAATGAGGCACGAAAATCCATAGAGAATAAGAACTGAAGCTGTATGCTTCAATAGCTTCACAGAATTATAAGTATGACCATAGAAAACCAATAGTTTAAATAATAACAGTTAAATGAATATTCAAATCATAGTTGGAATGATCAAAATGAAAAGGAAAAAGAAAGCAACAAAGTGCTGAACTGTTTGTGTAGCACAGTAGGATACAGCACACAACCCAACCAGAAATGATGTATCATAGTTTGTTAAAGAATGTCAGTAAATAACAGCCTGTCTTTCTCAAATTAAAAAGCCATAAGAAGCTCAGAGGCCAAATGAACGAGATGCCAGGGCCCATTACTCAACTACTATTGACTGAACAAAGTACTGAGACATGTAGCTAGAATGCTTCACCTGCCCTATACTTGCAGCAGCAATTGGCTCATAATCGAAACTAGTTAACTTGGTTGACCAGTCAGGACCCAACTCAGCATCCAAAACTCGATTCAGCTGGCTCCTGGGCATCACATCTGCACCTTGACGGACAGTATCTAAAGCAGCCAAGATCTTAAAAAGTAAACGATGTCACAGATCTAGCTGAAGGAAATAATAAGTAAATGACAGAAGGTTACCCAACAGTTTAAGAAGCCATTGTAATGATGAAGACAGTGAAACTGATAAGGATCATTTGTTTTTCTTTTCTTCTTCTTCTTTTTTTTAAAAAAAGAGTAAAACCACAAAAACTTTAATAAAGCAATTATACTATCTCTAGCTCTGTTTTGCAGGGGATAAACAATTATTATTTATCCATGCCAGAAATCTCAGTGAGCAAACCTCACCCATAAGAGAGAAGTTAGCAGATACCAAGACAAAGAAGAGAGAACATTTTATTATCAATTTATGAGCAACAATTCAAAGTATTCTATGTACCAATTCCTTATATGAGTTTCTAAAACTCATAAAACTTAAAATGTTCAGATAAAATGTTGGAATGCAAGATTTATAATTTCAAGAAGCTTAAAACCATGATGACTCCTCAGCAATACACCTGAGGTGAGCAAACATGAATATCCTGCTATCTAAATCAACAGATAAAATAGATAAGCCAATAAATTAAACATACCGGAGCAGGAACAAGAGATTCATCTTGTATGCTCAGCATCTGTCCTAACTTGAGGGCAGCGCCACGCATTCGGCATAATGCAAGAGCCAGGCGTTCTGCATTCTTATCAGACAAAAATGGAGAATAATCAAATTGTTTGTCTTGCGAATTTGGTGTGCCAAAGACGAGTCTCTTTGCTGATTCCTGAACTGTTCCCCACGCAAGCCCCGCTCCTAGACCAGCAAACCTTTAGAAGTTATAGGATACAAGTTAAAGATACACTCCATGATTCATGTCATTAACTTATAATTTTATGAATCATGAATAATGCTATTCTCCTCTACTTATTTAAATACGTGAATGAACATCATCAAGTTTTGATTTCCAATAACTTTTCAAAGTATAATGAAAGCACTAGTAAACGCCAAACTGCTTACAATTCTTACAATAAATAACTTTACTATATCCATTAATTCAATCTCAGCCAAATTAAAAAAATGCAATTGATACAAAATAATTTAAAACAATGATAATATACTCACCCAAGCGCTCTTGAAAACGGCGTGGAAGGAACTCTCCTCTCCCTTGGCTTCCTCCTCTTCACCTCTGGTGGCGCCACCACCGTTTCCGCCGGTGCAACAGCCACCTCTCCACCATCTGCATTGCCTTTATTATCTCTATCTAAACCACCAATTTCCTCCTTTGAAATTCGATTCTCCTCTAAAATCTTGTCTTCAACAGAAACCGAAGGAGTCACAACACTGTCATTGGCACTGCTTTCATTTCCGCCATCGCTAATTGGCAGCTGCGATTCAGCTGGAGTTGGTTCTGCTGCTACGTCAGGTGAATTGTTGAAATAAGCGACGGATTCTTTGGGCCTAGGAGGTGAGAACTCGCGGACTTTTCCTTTAGTGAGGCCCGATAAATCGGTGGCGGAGACCAGAGCTTTTTTGACGGTGGAGGTTATTAGGGTTTCGAAATCTCCACTTTCGAGAGCTTTGGAGCGTTTCGCAATTTCCTTGGCCACTAGAGAAAGGCCGGCCACGAGCCTCCCTAAATGGTTACCCGAACTCATAGCATCGCGCCCTGTAGATTTGATTTCGGTTTAATTGTTTTGACCTTTATATGATTATTAATCAATCAACTCAAAAATTTTGGAGTGAAAGCTTTTGGTTAAGAGATAGATTACGTCCCTCAGACTGGGGAGAAAGCAAAGGAAAAGTCGGTTAGAACTTGGAAGGAGCAAAGCGAAGCCTATCGACGCATGCAGAAACCAAATGGGATTTGACTGCCATCCAGCCTTCCAGGACACTGGCAAACTCTCGCACGGACCTTTAAACACCTGGCCCGAAAGTCTTCTTTGCAAATGTTTGAACTTTGCCATGGACCACAAGGCCTGAGTTAGAAGATTATGTGAATTGCAGCCCAATTGAAAATACATGGGCTATGTCAGCTAGCCGTATCATTGTATTTATTTTAATTTGTTTATTGTACTTTATTTTCTCTTGTAAAATCCGAAAAAAGACACAAAAATAAAATTACCCTTTATTTTTTTTTAATTTTTTTGTATTTATTTTAACTTAATTTAAAGAAAAAAACAAAATATATGATGGAGGGAAAAAAGAGAGGCCTACAACTTAAGAGGCTAAGACCCAGCGGACTTAACCTACGGCCCACTAGTCAAAGATCTTAAAAGACACCGCCCAAAATAATTAAAACCCGTCCCTCCGTCAAAGACACTACTATGACTCTGTGAGATAAAGATCTCATTAGGTATTTGCGTTATAGCGTTTTTTCACTGATATAAAAATAGGAACCATCATTATCGCTATCGATTAGTTTTTTATGAACATATAAAATATGAATAATAATATGGAGTATTTTGAATATATAAAATATGAATTTAGTAATATGCAAGAAGTTACGTTATGTGATTTCATCAATTTAAATGGACAAATTCCGACAGAATAATAAATTAAAAAAAAAACAATATCTTTTAAAAAATTTATTGAATGTAACTAAATATATAACAATAAAGTGGATACAATTCATAAAATATAAAGACGGAGCTAATTTTTCTCAAATTAAACTCATTGTTTTCTCTAAGGTTGTGTTTATTACAATATATAGTCAAGGGTCTCCCCTCTCACTTGATTTTGGTACAATTCTAGGCGGATATAGAAGTGTTAAGGAAATTAACAATTAACTGTTACATCGTTTTTGGGGGGTTAGTTGTTAATTTGGAGAGGAAGGGGTGACACGAATTTTTAAGAAGAAAAAAATTATTTTTATTATTTCTCTGTTAATTAGAGTTTGTGTTATCCTAGCTAACAGGAAGATAATTGAATTTAGCAGTAAAGCACACGACACAGATGAGAAGGAATGCATTGAAAAGTTTGAAATGGAAAAGATTTACATTAAAATCTCAATTTGCAACAAGTGCAAGTACTTTTGAATTTTAACATTTTACCTTCTGCATCTGCCCACAGCCCACCCAATTTCAAGTAAGCGAGACCATAGTGTGAGATGCAGAATAATCACCTTGTAAATTGGAACAATTCTAGAACAGAATCGGAATCCTTTAATTTGTCCGAACATCAATTTGTACAAACACAGACAACCAATTTTACGTTCTTTCTTTGAATACCAAGATATTCGCCTGATCCTGTTTTCTATCTTAGCTGCTTGCTCGCAAAGCAGGAAATATCAAACGCACGCTTAATTAGCCACGTAAAAGAGTACCGATTCATATGGACTGGTAATATTGCAATTTGATATATATATATATATATCACACGTTGACATATGAGTAAGATATATTAATGGAAGATTGATGGAGCATTCAGCAAGTCACCTTCTTAAGTGTGCTATATACAATATTCTTACCTATACATCTCCGCATCAAAAGAATAATCGCCATCTCTATACCCAATTTATCTGTCATCTTATCATATCCCGGATTCCTAAATTCCGTTTTTCGGTACTTATTCTCAATCTCTATCTTGACAACCTATCTAGGGAGCATATTTCATGTGTGCTTTGCCTAATTAAGATTCGATAATTCGATGCTTTTTCTTGTTTTTTTGATTAATGACGTCAAAGTAGATAAGAGGTGGCCAACATGCAGTGCAATTATGGACCATATCTAGGAATTTTGCTTTTCATTTTGGAACCAAATCCTATAGTCTAAATCAATATGCGAAAGTGGGTCGGGCACTTGGCAAGTCTCAAAAAAGCACTTGCAAAATCTAAGACAATGACTGGTAACAGAAATATGTATGGAAGATGATGGCTTCAACTAATTCAGAATTGTACCAAATGGGAATCAAATATGTTTTCCACCTCAGGTACCGTTTGTGTCATCTCCCTCACTCCTCATGTTGGTGGGTCAATGTCCATGCATTTCTATATAAATATGTCCATTCAGCTAATACTGGAATGTGCGTCAGAACTGTTTTGATATACATTCGTACCGTCTATTTGAAGGTGGTTTTTGCTGCACTATGCTTCTTTAATGATTTCTAGTCCAATTATTGTCCTATATTAACTTTGGGGCTACTATTTTATTTCAGATATATATATTGTGGTTAATATTGATGCACCAAATTCATTGATTTCATCATAATCTATTGAAAATTGCTGAATATGCTCTATATATACATCCTCTTGAAAATGGATATATATGCAAGCCGACCACAGTTAAACTTGCTATAAATTGGAATTTTTTTTAGTTTTAAGCCTTCGATCTTCCAATGGGATCGTTAGGTCCTTGCTTTCATTCTTTCTCTATCCATTCATTCACTCTGATTTCTTCTAAATGACTATATGTGTGTTGAATTCCATGGTTATCAGTCTTGGAAATTCCCTTGGCAACTGCGTTCTTTCCTTTTCTTTTTCCTCAAGTTTAATTGTTGCAGTGAATTTAATTGATTCATTCATTATTATTTTCTTAATTTCTTTCACGTGATTTTTCCACTTTGTCTTGCCTTATTTAAGGTTCTCAGACTTGGGAAAGTCTTACAGAAACATTGTTGCAGGTGAAATTTTTAAGATGGACGCTGTTGGAAGGGCCAATGGACCAAAATATGAGTGCTTGCTCTTTGGTATGTTAGATCCAATAATTACTTAATTTGCTGACAAGCTGTACATTATTAAGCTAGATAATTGAGTTTAAGTGACTTAAACTTTATGGTGGAGGACTCGTCAGTCCATTCAACATCTATTATATTTTTTATATTTTTGTATTTATTAATTCAATATATGAGATATAGATGTTCAACATGTATTCGAAGAAATTTGATTTAAATTATCTTAATTAATCTATGAATTCATAGGTATAATTAATGAAGATATGTTTTACAGACATGGATGATACTTTATACCCCTGGAGCTTGGGTCTCAACTTGGCTTGCCGCAAGAACATTGAAGGTTAGAAACCACAGAAACAGTCGTCACAGTAACCACAGAACTTGTTGTGATATATATGTCAGTTCAATTACATCAATAATGCGGTTTGAGTTACTGTCTTTGCAGAGTTCATGTTGCATAAGCTATATATTGAAGAAAGTGAAGTTCCAAGGATGTGCTTGGAATTATACAGGGAACATGGAACAACAATGGCCGGTTTGAAGGTGAAATTATATCCTTGACTCTTTATTAGTAGGGTCCTCCCTCTGCTTCTTCTTTTCAGCTGAGAGTTTTAACTAATTAATCTTAGCGCAATGAAAATCAGGCTCTTGGCTACGAGTTCGATGACGATGAGTTTCATGCTTTCGTTCATGGAAGATTGCCTTATGAAACACTGAAGCCTGATCCGGTGCTAAAGAACCTTCTACTGTCCATGCCACAGCGTAAAATAGTATGTCAAATTTAATCTCATTCTTTCCGTTCAAATGAAAAATATTTCAGCAAAGTAAACATGGAGTGTAGGCAAGTTTTCTAACATGTCTTCGAACGTCTTCAGATCTTCACAAATGCTGATAAGGCGCATGCAGCTGAAGTTCTCGAAAGGTTGGGTTTGGAAGATTGTTTTGAAGGCGTCATATGCTTTGAAACCCTTAATCCCCCTCTAGAAACTGCAACTTACATGGATGAATTAGATAATGGAGCAGTGACTGCAGGAGGTGAACCAGAGCCTAGAGACTTCGATGGTGCTGCCACTGGAAATGTCAGCTCCAAGTCACGAATCCTCTGTAAACCCTCTCTGGAGGCCATTCAAGCAGCTATTCAGATTGCAAATGTGGACCCAGAACAGACAGTAATATTGACTTCTGACTTAAACCTGAAAACTAGCGTTGTTCATTTCTGCTACTTCAAATGTTGCAGAGATCATGAGTTATACCTCATTTCTTTTTAATATTCCTCCCTTTTTCCTTCATTCTTGTCAGATCTTCTTCGACGACAGTGCTCGAAACATTGCAAGCGGGAAAGCAGCAGGACTTCATACAGTTATTGTAAGCTCTACAAATCACTAGTTTTCGAGATATCATCAGTAAACGCACAGTAGAGCCCATTAGGCATGTGTGACAGTGATTCAATTTCCATGACAGGTAGGGAGCTCGGCCCTTGTACCAGGAGCAGACCATGCCTTGAGAAGCATCCACAATATCAAAGAAGCAATACCTGAAATTTGGAAGGATGAAGGAGAGCAGATGGAGCAAGTTATCCAATCCACTACAGTTGAAACAGTGGTCCTTGCTTAGTTTTTCCATCAAGTTCCCTCACACTGACGTACACATCAAACCTGGTTGGTTACTGATGGCAAAGTGACATAATGGCCAAAGAATTAAAAGGAAATAAAGTAATGATGATACATTCAGTCTTCATGTAAAAAAAATCTCTACCAGGAAAGTAAAAGGTCATTGTATTCCGTATGGGGATGGTAGCATTATACTACATATGAATTCATGTAGCTAACCTGAAATAATTGGTGTAAGATGGTAATTTATGAAAAGTCGTTGAGATTGATATTGGAAAGGCTTAGTTGAGTTATAAGTGTAATACAAATGGTATCTGCATATATGTTCACTTAACAATCGCATATCTGCCTCTACAGTGAGCTTACAAAACATAGCTCACATTTCTATGAGCGGCTGATGAAGTTTCCCAGAACTAATGCAAAATCGAGGGGGTGATTGCCCTCGAGAAAATTGGATGATTCTGGGAAATCATATCCTAGTGTTGTAGAAATGATATTGGAGCATGTAATAATCAGCTTTCTGGTGGTAATTCCCCACAATTGACAATTCTGCATGGTTTCCGAGGACAATCTGACCTGCTCGTCTCAACAGATTCAAGCTTGCGCACAACGTCCATTCCGTCAATGACATGTCCAAACACAACATGGCGGTTGTCCAACCATGGAGTCTGCAGCACAAATTAAGGACATCATTTGCAAAGAATTTCAGTGAAAACAACACTTCTAAATATTTCAGCACTTCAGCTGTTCACTGAACTTAAAGATGAACAAGGCACAAGCAACCATCATCCAATCCATGTTATGAATCCAAAGGATAAGGATCCCAATTAAAAACTAAGATTAAAATTCGTCCTCCAGAAATAACTTTTTTTTTCCTTTGGATGAACGAAAATTTTCATTCATCAAAAAGAAACCAAGTGGGAGTTGCCCCAATACAATATAATACAGCAGGCAACTATTCTAGAAGCAAACTGTAAGACACAACCAATCAAGTCACTTACAACTTACAACAAATTAATCAAATAAAACGAACACAAAACTCATGAACCTTCTATAATTTTTAATTTGGGCCCACCTTTCTTATGAGGAAAACTAACAAACTACCATAGCCTTCTTTTCTTCTTAACATTCTTGTTTCCAATGTTCCTCTATGACAAGCACTCAACTTTAAATGGCATTTACTTTGAAATGCTATCTCTAGACATTTTACATTTCTTTTTAATGCTATCTTTCCAGATCCAAACATAGAGGAGAAAGTATCTCTCCACATCTGCACACAGAACAAGTAGGAACTAGTGTTTTCATTCTTATTCCTCTGCACATGACCTCTATCAATTAATTAATTCTATTAGCACATATTAACCGAGACATCATTAAGTAAATAGCTCTATCAGATTGCTGCTGCCAAATGTTTACCTGTCTATATAATAATAACAAAGTATAAATATGTCCAAGGTTTCAGTATTCTAGTTCTCAAAGAAGACAACACAAAACATTTCACAAAAGAAACACCTAAAAGTTGTCAAAAGTTTCCCCTGGATCTATAATTGAAAAAATGATGAAGGTGGATATACAACAACCAAAAGAACAAAACTGCACCAGCTATCTTACCTTCACAGTACAAATGAAAAATTGGCTCCCATTGGTATCTGGACCTGCATTTGCCATGCTCAACACACCAGGTCCAACATGCTTCACTGTAAATGATGGCTTTAGATTTTTAGCACCATACTAGCCATTTCCACCCAAGACCCCAGCCAAAACACCCTTGTTATGAAATGAAAAATAAAAATGGAAAGGGGTGTTTATCTGATGGTCTGAATTATAGAAGTTTAAAATAAACTTATTCAGGCTCTTCAAATACTCACAGGCAAAGCTCTCATCTTTAAATCTAGAACCATATATGCTCTCTCCTCCAGTTCCCTGCAGTTACCAAATTAACAATTTCTTCTTAGTGAAATCAAATTCCTACTTAAGCAGTATGTGTTATACCCAGTGACAAAACAGAGAGCTCACATCTCCTCTAGTAAAGTCCCCTCCTTGGATCATGAAGTCTTTGATAATACGATGGAAGGAGCATCCTTTGTAACCAAACCCTTTATCCCCTGCATGCAGTGATGTAACATTGAAGGTCAAACATATCACCATATTATTAAGCCGCAAATAATGCCTCTAACAGATAATCTGTGTTTAAAAAGCTCACCTGTGCACAAGGCACGGAAGTTCTCAGCAGTTTTTGGGACAACATCTCCAAAAAGGCCAACTACAATTCTACCCAAAGTTTCACCCCCAACTTCAACATCAAAGAAACACTTGGTTGTCACTTTTGCCTGTAGCTCAACATCCTGATACAACAGGGTTATGTGAGACACAAGAGCCCAAGACATACCTAAACAAATAACAAAACAACGGAAAGATGTAGACAGGGACAATCCCTGAAATGAAAACCACATACATGGTTCCAAAGATGGAAGGGGCGACTCATGCATACTTCCAGAATGCCCCAAAAGAAAACCCCAAAAAATAATAACAAAAACCTTGACAGAATTACTTATTGGTTTGTGTCAGTTACACAATCATCTGAAAGTCTTCTGAGACAATTAATAGATAAATGAAGCACCAGCATGGGCTGAAAACTGAACTGAAAGTGAGGCTAAACCTATATAATTTTTGGCTACTTTAGATTGAAAGGTACCACCTATAAGGAAAAAAATGCTGAAACCGGCTGTATCATGTTATACATTCCTTTGTGCTAATTTTTTAGACCTATTCCATGACTAGTTTCGACATTTCAGAGCTAGCTCAGGGGTTGATGCGTGTTAGCTAAAGAAGAAAGGAAAAGGAAAGGCCATCTTCTACATTGGTAATCATATCTAATTTTCTCTATAACCACTTAACTCAGCATAGACAGAAAAGAAATTCATTGAGATATGGTATGTGACAGTGAAACTTAGCTGTCCATTGTTTTAAAGGCTTTTTAAATATTATCATAATGAATACCAAAGCAAAGGATTAAATAAGTAGTTACATTTGCCATTGAGTTGATGCACGCCATTCTCCGATTCTTAATAGAAGGTGCTCTAGAAAGTTGCATGATAGGAAAATTCGATGCATAGTGAGATCTTGATGTCAATGCTCTTCCATGGCAGTTCAAAGTAGGAGTTTGAGAGTAACCAGTCTGGGCATTTCTGGTGGTAGTTATCATATGCGGCTTGCTTGTATTCGAAACATCTCGTCCATAACTACCCTGCCAAGAAAATAATGTATCAGATGAAACAAACAAGACTGTGTGTTAAGAGTATGAGCCAGGATAGGTAAAATAAATAATAAAAAAAACAAAGAACTATCATGAAAAGTTGCTATAACCTGCTTGTCACACAGGCAATATGATTTTAATTTTATTTTGTACATTTTGAGACTTGTGAGCAAGTCTTGGTGACAAATAAATTATTGGCCAAGGCATCAAAGTGCAATAGTTGTCGTTAAGCAGAAAATTTTGCTGCAGCAAAGCAAATGTGATCAACACAAGTCCAGAGACCTCATTGTTTCATCATCTCATTCCCTTTAAGTGAACTGATAATCACTGGTTAATAATTCATTGTTAGAACCACGTTTCTAATAACCCCTTTTCTTTTTCACAGCTTTGAAGACCAAGGGCGGCCCAGCACTCCAGCAGTCAACAGAATCGTGAAATGGCTGATGCGTTGGTCTTATTTGAATGATTAATACTACATTTCATACATTTACAAGTTTTTGTTAATCAAAATACGTTGATCACAAGAATTCATCAATATAAACTGAAATATAAGGAAGAACACATTGACAGTTGACGTTTTGTCACAGGAAAAAAATTTGAAGGCGATACTTCAGTGATTCCATGTAAAGCCACACAAGCAGCTAAGAATTCAACAAATGAAAGGGCCAGTTGTCCCACGTGCAATAACTATTGTCTGCAAACCAAGGAAGCATCTTGACAATTAAGAAAACACATAAATAATATAATCCTTGATCAATTTTTTAATAATCTTCCATGTTTGCAACAATATACTATGAAATTAATACAAGTGATTACAGGTTGCAAGAAATAAATCCACAATGATTCTAGCCAAAACCGATTGAAGCAGGAATGTGCGGAGTTGACTACTGGAATGCAGAAAAGATGCTAGAAGAGAAGACAGAAGCCGTGATTCGATAGCTTGTGAAATGAATGTTAAGGCCAACTGTCAAAATGACATTGATAGTCAGAAATACAGAATGATGCTCTAAACAATTCTTAATACAGGATTATTACATAAAGGCATCGAAACCCGTTTCTCTATAATCTCAAAATTTATAAGCAGCAGTAGCTATATATTAGTATGTAAATTAGTACACCCAAAAACATAGACATTGCAAAACATAGAAACCAGAAAGGGTTTTACCCACATTTGGTTTGGTGACTGTACAGTTCTAATTTTTTTTTTTTAATTGAGATTCTGTAATTTTTCAGTTTGACTTAAAGTTTTGTTGATTAAGAACATCTTTTATAACTCCGTCAGTGTTCATCTAACGTGGCATATTACAATTAACAGCTACCAATTACTGATCAACACATGGCGTTGTAAGTCTTAAATGACAATTTTGCCATCCAAAATTGAAAAAAAAATTCTTTTTAATAATAAAAGAATATTTAAAATTAAGAAAATAAATCATAAAGATAAATTTGACCTCGTCTCATTATTCTAAAATCCATCACTCTCCCCTCACTGTCTCTTTCTACAGAGACCAAATCTTTTGCATTCTCTAAACTTTTTCTTCTTCTTCGATTGAAACCCGAAGCTTCCTAGCTACTTCTTCTTCTTGTTCTCCGATTGCAATCCTAAGCTTCCTATTCTCCGATTGAAATCCTAAGCTTCCTAAATTTTTCAGTCCCTCGCTTCACTTCTTCTTCTATGATTGAAACCCTAAGCTTTCTCTCTTCATCTTCTTCTTCTTCATAATTATTCTTTTGCACTCTCAAACCCGTTATCTCTCTCTCTCAAAATAAACTCTAAATAACCCAATTCCGTATTAAATAATCCTCTGTTATGCCCTTCCGTAACCGGCATACCATCGCCTCCCATCATCGTCACCACCTATAAATACACCAATCCGCCAGATTTTTCTTTCTTTTTCTTCACAGATAGTCAAGATTCAAATCTTCTCTTGATCTTAACAAATCAACCCAAATAATCTTAATATTTTCTGACATTTATCTAAGGCAATTATGTCTACTAGTGACTCAAACATGATGCAAGATTTGGATTCAGCTTCGCATCAACAACCTCATATTTTTCCTGGAAACATGAGACAATTATTCCAACATGTCATCGACGATGTTTTCGCAATAAGAGCAGCCATTCAAAACCCAAACCCAGATGGTAATAACAATACTACGTCGAGGCGGCTGCCAGCATCAAAGGAGGCAATTGATGCGATGCCAAGAATAACAGTGGAAGAAGCTGGGAATGATTGTGCAATTTGTTTAAATGAGATTGGAATCGGTTCAGAACTTAGAGAGATGCCTTGCAAACATAGCTTCCATTCGGGTTGTATTGAACATTGGTTAGGGATTCATGGGTCTTGTCCCGTTTGTCGGTTTTTGATGCCTGTGGATGGAGGAGAGGTCGCGGCTAGTGGATCTGGATCTTAGTTTAGATTTTTTGATGGGTTGTGGGCTGGGTATTATGGGTTTTGTTGAGGTCTTGTCATGACTTGTCATGAACAATTATAATGGGGGTGTGGTAGTTTCGTATTTTTACATTCATTTTATATACTAATACATGGTTTAATAATAAAAATCTTTTAAATTTTAGTTTTTTTTTTTTTACAGAATACAGTGATATTTGAACCACTCTATGCCATGTGTCTATTAATGATTGCTTATCGTTATTTTTAACCTAACACGGATAAACAGCTAAGAGTTTGAATCTAAGAATTAAAAGTTTCAATCATGCTCAAAAGTTTATAATGGGGTAAACCCAAATTAGACACAACAAACAAGAACTAGGTTCTTGAATTTCTGGCCAATCAGTAACCATGAAAGCAGCAGATACAGTCACGACCCAAGGTATGTCATGTCACTCGCAAACTTCATCTACCATATGCTTCATTATTCTTATCTGTGCGTATTTTCCATACTTGTGTTGCTGTTTCGATGCGTTAAACGAGAGAGAGAGAGTGTGTGTGTGTATTATATTAATTATTCTGTGGATTGAAAGACTAACCTGAAAAACAAGGCGAGGACTGTGTACCGTTTGAATTGAGCATGTAGAGGCCATTTCCTCGGCAGGCTAGACTAGAGTAGAGCAAATTTTTCTTTTTGGCTGTGTTGATGCTTTGAAGCAGAGCAGCCTGAGGAGGTTAGAAAATAAGACCTTTTTAGCGTGTCGAAGGTAAGGTTGGTTAAGGTAGTGTTGGACTTCGAGAGGACCAAAAACGGAGAGGTATAGGCAGGCACTGCCTCGTTTTATCCAACAGGTGTCATCAAAATATCCGTCACGGGTCTCACCATCTAACTCATTACTGATTGGGTTGGGTAGGCACCAAGCCGGCCTTAGGCCCGCTATAGTGAGACCAGAGACTAATCTCTCTAACCCAATGGGCTAGCTAGTTTTCCGCTACTCGGGGAGGTGAAATCTGCATTCCCCTTGCATTGGAACAACACTCCCACTTCTGCCTTGATATAAATTACTTCTCGCTTTTCTGCCTCCCCTCCTCTAGAACCCGCAATGTGGTCTGATAAGAAATGTGACAGTTGTTAGTTTGAGTAAAATTCAAAAACGAAGAAAATGAAAACTCAACTGTACCCCGGATTTATATTATAATCAGACCTTCCTTGTACCGAAATGAAAAAAAATATATGTATATTTTTCATTAAAAAAAAAACTCGATCTGTACAAGAACAACCAGCTGCAAGTGTTTAGTTCTTTCCCCTATAAAGGAGATATATGACAACAATAGCTGGTATAGTGTCCATATAATATGTTTAAATAAAAAATACTACCACTCTGATATGAACATAATGAGCATATATAGCAATACAAACCTGCCTTTTTTCTCAATAAAAGTTTTCAAAGTATCGCCACTGCTTCCAAAATCATACGTTAGTCCTTGTTATTTTTGCTTTAATTTATCATTAAAAAAAATTGTTTTTTAAATACGCATGGAATTTTGGACCGAAGAAAGAGCCTTACTCAGGATTCTTGAGACCATGGAGTGTAAGGCCCATGTGAATCGTAGAGGCCCAACTCAGCTACATCAATACGTGGCTCGCAAAATCCAAAATCCCACGCGCAGGCAAGTAGGCAAGGTAGGTGCAATTACAAACAAGGATGAGAGAAAAGAAACGTGGGGTAGTTATCGGCAGGGAGCGAAATAATGCGCGCCTTTGCAATCCCAATTGGCTACTGCTCCTCTTATCCTTGTCTCTTCCTCCAACCCTCTTTAACCAACACCAAAACTAAACTCTCTCCTGTCCCTCCTAAATTCGCAAACTTTAGCTCGCAAACAAAGCATCGCCTTCTCTCTCAATGCCGAACCACCCCTCATTGTTCCAATTCCGAGTCGTCCACTCTTTTGGACGACGATGACGATGACGATTATCATGATAATGATAGCGATGATGGGTATTATTCTGACGTAGGTGAGGAGGAGTCAGAAGATAGTGTCACTACCGGGGATGATGTTTTTATAGAGATAAAGAAGCTTCAAAACAACTCGAGGAGAATTCGATCCAAGATTTATATAAAAGCTAGCCTTGACACTGTGTGGAAAATATTAACTGATTACGAGAAGTTGGCTGATTTCATTCCCGCTCTTGCTGTCTGCAAATTAATTGACAAGAAGGACAATTTCGCTCGTCTTTATCAGGTAATTCGATTGATTCTTGCTTTTTTCTATTTCTTTTCAGTTTCTCTATAAAACTGGAATTAAATACTGTCTGATTTTACATTGGGATGTATAGTAAGAGTTGTGTTTGTTTATTGCACTTTCAAAAATGTAATCTGAACTAGAAGTTAATAATTTTTTCTGGCAGCAATATATTTGAGGATTGTTGAAGAGGTTTTATTTCGTAATCAAATTTCGTTTTGCAATTAATATGTTAAGGTAAAATAAATGCATTATTGAAAATGATATTCTTGCTATTCCTTCTAAATTTTGGCCTAATGTAGCTTTAATCTGTACTTGTTGGAGTTTTTCTAATGAATTATTAATGATTGTAAAAAATTTTTGAAGGGATTGGTGTGCATTCAAGTGATGGAATGGAGATAAGAGAGAGTCGAGGGAGGAGGAGCAAGAAAAAAAAAACTTAGGGATCTTAAATTTTGAAGCAGGGGAAAATGCGTAGTGGTTTTGGTTTATGAGAGTACACTCAGTTTAGTAACTCGGAACGTTTAGTAGAATAGTAATTAGTCAGACTGAGAAATGGTTTAGTTGTTGGCTTGGGATGAGAAAATTTAGAGAGAGTCTTATTTTCCAGAACAAGCCGAAAGGAAGTTTGAAGGGGTTTTTTTTTTTTTTTTCAATGATGGAAATGAGGTGCCTTTCTCCATTATGGAAGTTTTGATGGTGTATTTTTAGTGGATATGAGGTGCCTTATTCCATTAGGGGAGTTATGAGTTTGAGAAATAATGTTTTTGATTGGGTGAAATGTATCATGGATGGCAACTCTAGTGGAAATATGGGGAATCAAAAACAATTGGTTGAAGTTTGGGCACCCTTAGGCCTTAAGTAAGGTCAAGAAAGGTTTGAGTCTTCTTGACGAGTTGTGATTTTAGTCCACTGAGCCAATTCTCCCTGGGACATCAACAGACTAATGCAGGATCTTTCCATAAATATCTCAACATTTCTTGTCTGTCACTTGTAATAAAAACATTGATTGACAAGTAAATATTTTGTTAATTAATAATTTTTTTCTTTTATTCACCTAGAACCTTAATAAACTTCTGATTATCTGATCATTGTGGTTGAAATATAGGTGTGCATTGTTGTTCTCTGTTTCTCTCTCTCTCCACACGTATGCACACAACTGCACAAGGATTTACACACATGCAGGGGCACAACAACAGACACACGCAAATGTGCTGCCTATCTCCGTATTTGTGTTTGACTAAAAAAATCTTTCAGCTGAAGTCTAAGCTTGCATCATAGGTCATTGGTAGATGTTTTTCTATGACCTGTCTTGAAAACCTCATTTTATAATAGACTATGGTCATAAGTTTAGCTGAAACATTTTTCTTGACCTTGTTATATCATTATATTCTTCTTAACAGGTTGGACAGCAAAACTTGGCATTTGGGCTAAAATTTAGTGCAAAAGCAATTTTGGATTGTTATGAGGGAGATCTTCAGACTCTTGCTTCCAGGAAAAAGCGTGATATTGAATTTAAGATGACGGAAGGTGACTTCCAGTTTTTTGAAGGAAAGTGGTCTATTGAACAGGTACGAATTAGTTGTTTCTTGGTTGTTCAGCAGCTCCGTATTCACTGGCTATAATTTTGTATGTTTGAGACTTCGAGATCTTTAGATCGTGATATGAAACTCCATCCAAATTAGTACAGTTTTTTTTCTAGGAGTGCAAACTTCAGGTTTGCATCTTTAAGCAAGATATAGTATCTGGTTTCTTGCTTACCCTGGAAAAGTTACAGCTGACATGGCAGGCACCTGAAAGATTTACATTGTTTGTGCGTTCAAGAAAATTACAATAATACTTGATGTTATGAAAGTTCCTGGATAGTGTGAAATAATGGTAGTAACAAAGGTATCCCTCAGTAAGCAGCTTGGAGCACTGAGGTTGTAGAACTCAAAAGTACAGATAGTTCCCAAAATGATTGAACCAAGAATCTAGTAATATGTTGAATCAATTTTTTTACCAGCATGTTGAGATGCTATGTACAATCCCTTGAGCACACACATTGCAGCAGATGAAAAATCCACCACCCAATGGCCAGAGGTTTTGGGTTAGGATTTGGTGTCCAATGCATATATCTAACTCTACTCAATGACCGCTCTCCAGTTGCTTTGCAGTTGATGACAACTAGGCATTCCAGCCAGCTTGTAAAGTTTTGGCTGTGATACTGTGTTTTAGATTTAAGAGTAAACAATATTTGGATCTGCAAGACATCCGATTTACCTGAAACTATGTAAATAAAATTGGGCATAAAAATGTTCCATATCTTGTATAATCCTATCAGTACTGAACTCAATGTAAAAAGTGCTTTCAATTCCTTAATTATCAGGAATGAGCACTTGATCCTTTTGTCCCGTTCAGCCTTATGGAGGTTTTATCCTCTGCTATTTTCAAAAGTTCTGTAGTTTGTCATTGCTTTGTCTGTGTCCTTAATTCTGTTCCTGTGCACAAGTTTTTTCTTTCTTGTTTATGCATTGTTATTGATCTCCATTGCACATTGGTTGAGCCGTATAGTTTCTGTTTCTGTGTTTGAAAAATCTTGACAGAATAGTTGACTGCCATATAATGAGTTATTTCTTTTATGATTTTTGGCTGTAAGTCTTTGAGTAGAATTTATTGTTTTCATTGCAAAAGCTTATGTATAAAAAATGATGGTTTATGCAGTCTACTAAACCCGAAACTGAAGATTCACTTGGTCAAGAGTATGAGACAACTCTTTCATATTTTGTGGATGTAAAGCCTAAGCTATGGTTGCCTGTTCGCCTAATTGAAGGCAGACTGTGCAAGGAGATAAAGTCAAACCTCACATCCATCCGGGAAGAAGCACAGAAAAGGATTGGTGATGCTCTGCATGATCAATAGTGTTATTGACGCAACCAAATAATATCGTCTAGAGAGCCGTAAATTTTTGTCGATGATTTTGTATGGTGAATTGCGGTAGAACAGATAATACCATTTACCGCATCCTTTTTAGTGTCAATCTGGTTCGAATGTCCAATTTTTCTTACAAAAATAAAGAAGGAAGAAAAATGTTGGGGGAGCAGATACCTCCATGATTCATCCATCTTTTTAAATGTCGAATATATAAATTCTACACAGAGCTGTATGCACAATTAGGATCTCCATGATTTAAAATCACGATTATGTGTCTCATGACTCATCCGATTGGTTTGGGAAGCTGTAATTGCATTTGCAGATGTCTTCTTAGGACGTTTGATTCGTATCATCTGCATCTTGTTCACCATGAACTCAAATTATATGCGTTTAGTTTAGCAGTATTAGGGAAACACCCCACTCTAGATTCTGCTCTTCATGTGTCAAGTTCTCCTTGTACGGTTCAGCTTTTCCCTGTGCATCGGCCCGTGGATATCCCAAACGCTCAAATTCTTAATCTATACAGTATCCCTATAGCGAAAAAGAAAATTAAATCAAAGTGAATCTAGGGCTACAACTTTATTAAAAGTGTGTCTCCCAGAGCGCAATCTATGGTTAATAAGCTGTTTAATGCAAAGGGAAAAGGTAGGATAAAATGTTCCCGTGGTTGGTCACATATGGAGTAATAATTAGTCGGTAAGAGAAGAATATTTGAGTTTTAACTCGGCCAAGAAGACAAATCAACTAGTGATATGGGTCCCTTAGGTTTGACCCGTTTGGATGCTAGTGAGATTACAACACAGTTATTATTCAGGTGGTGCATTCACGCCCTGTCTCTCAGACTTTCAGTTGAAATCCAAATGGCAGCAGCACTGACATTCTTTAGTCGACCAGGCAGGAAAGTTGGATTATTAGGAATGGCTTAAATGCAGAATTGTAGTTTCAATCCCTTTCTTTATTCAACAACTATTGCAGCACATTTAACCTCAAGAACTAAACATGCCGCAACCTCGACCTGGCAATTTCTCATGCCATTAATTTGGTAGGTTTGACTTGTCAATTTCAAGTTCATCTGATTTAGTTAAAGGAGGACGGAAGTTGCATCACGGACTTGGATTGATTTTCCCGTTCATACAGGTCTGACGAGTTACGACACTTAACATTGAATTAATGAAACGCAGTTGCAAGTTTTGTGGTAGGAAACAGAAAGAAATCATTTAGAATCCAAGTCTTAAAATGAATCATCAGCACTTCATGAAATCGTTCTTTTTCTAAAGCCCCAAAATAGGAGTGCCACACCTGTGTTTGACTTCTGCGGTAATCCATAAATAGGTCTGGGCTAATTCATCAATTATGGCTGCTCATGAGTTGTCATAAAGAAAAGGGACTGCTCCAGTAATCTTATAGCGACACGAGCGGGAGGGCGCACAAAAATCAGGTAGACCTAACACCAGTGCATTCTAGCCTTCCCTCCAGATAGATTTCCAAATGCTATGTCTATTGTATAGTCTCAAAAACAAGAATATATGTAACTGAAAAAGATAAAACAAAAGACAGAAGAGCATGAGCACCTAGATACCATGCGTTTCGATGCGTGGAATTGCCAAATTGGTTCCCCTATGCATCATATTCATGAGTCAACATGAGTTTCCTTTCCTAGATGAGTTTCTCAAACATGTGTAACTTTTTGTGGAAAATTGTTAAAAATCATTAACAATTTGTAATATCTAGAAACATAAAGTTATTTTGTTATTAAAAAAAAAGATGAAATCTTTTTCTCCCAAAATGATTTATCTAATTTTTTTTTATATGTGGAAATTTCTTAAAATGATGAAAGTTTTAGGATTAGCGCTTATAGGGATCTCTCTATTTTTTTATTTCATCTTTATCGTCTCTTTCTTTTTTTTCTTTTTTTTTTGTCTTAATCCCGTCCCTTTACATTTAGTTTTTGTTTTAATGATGTCGTTCTATTAACCTTTTAAACTAATTGTGTTAAATCACACCTTTAACCCACATAATTGCGACACATGTATTTTTTTGGCATCTTAATCTTTTTTCTCTCCTCTTTTTTATAAAATTTAAATAAATAAATTTTGAAAAAAAAAAGAAGATATATCAAGTCATTCTATCAAAAATTGAAAAAAAATATAAAAAAGATAAAAATAAAAATATTTTTATTCAAAATATGGTTTAAATTTATCTCTAGTAAACAAATTTTGAGCATAAAATAAAAAAATATATTTTTTTTTCTTAAAGATATAAAGAGAGTTTTAGTTAAATTTTTAAATTTTTAAATAACATTTATAATTTCATAATGCCTCAAAATAGTCTATTACGATTTACTTATTTTTATTTTACAATTTTTTTCATTTGACTCAAATTAGGAATATAAATTTTGTTAAGATTTTTTTTTAGAATATTCGTTCAAAGGGGATTAAAAATCACACACACACACACACACACACACTATATTCATATTTTTCTTTCAGTTTTTAATTTTATTTTTCAAAATTTATTTTTTTAATTTAGAATAAAAAAAGTAAAGGGACCGATTTAGATAAAAACAAAACAAAATTGACATGTTTAGTAGTTTTATGAAGCTAACAATGCAATTTAATATTGTTAGCAAAATAAATTAATGGAAAAACACCAAGATAGAAACTAAAAAATTAATTAAAAAAAATAGTAGAAGGAGACAATCAAAACAAAAGAAAGAATGAAGAAATCTCTAATTAATATTGTTAGTAGTTTTCACTCGTATGGGTTCCAAATTTAACTTTTTAACCGTAATTTTACTTGTTAAAAAGAACATATGTAACTAAAAAGGATAAACAAAAGATAACGGAGTATGTACACTCGCATCCTATGCGTTTTGATGCGTGTCATTGCCAAATGGGTTCATCTATGCATCCCATTCATGTGTCAACATGAGTTTCCTTTCTTAGATGAATTCCTCAAACATGTATAACTTTTTGTATAAAATTGTTAAAAATCATTTGCAATTTTTAATACCTAGAGACTAGAAACATAAGGTTATTTTGTAAAAAAAAAAAAAGAGTGAAATCTCTTTCTCCTAAAACGATTTACCTAACGTTTTTTTATGTGAAAATTCTTTAAAACCTCATAAGTTATAGTATTAGTGATTATAAACACTACGAGAAAACCAAAAAATAGCGATGAATTTTAATTACAAACACTAATCAATTGCTAAATAACGACCAAATAGCATATGTGGGATTTAGAGATGGAATAGAGACGGTTTGATGACTAATTATCGACGACGGATGAAATTTCATTGCTATTTGAGGTGTTAGAATCCTTTTAAATGTTTTAGCAAAGGGTTAACAACATAATGACGATGAAAATCAACAAAAGGTTATTGTTTTCGTCACTATTTTTAATATTTTTGCTTGAGTGATGGAAGATCCATTGTTAAAGTATGAAATTCCTCACTAATTCTAAAAAAATAAACGGTCTTTTGGAATTAAAAAGTCTTTCATTTAACGATGACTTAGCGATCGACACTTACGTTCATCACTACATAGTGACGAGATCGCTATCTAAAACAATCAATGGCTTTTTGGAATTAAAAACCCACTCATTTAACGATGGCTTAACGACGAACACTTATGTCCGTCGCTAAATAGAGACAGATCGAGCAATGAGATCGTATATATTGCTAGTCCGAATCCCTAACTAAATCCTTTTTTCCTTTCTTCTTCTCCCATTTTCTTCTTCCCTTCATTCTCCTTCTCCAACCATTGGTCCTCCCCTACTCAAAACCACCACAAAACTCTACTCCTTTACTCTTCATCGACCTACAATTATTCGAAACACCTTTTCTACCTAAAAATTCTCGTTTTTCTTCATTCTCGTCGGACCGAATTAGGTAAGTTCTCTTTCTCTTTTATTTCTTAAAAGTTAGCTATTTTTCATAATTGTTAGCTGAATTTTAAATTTAATTAATTGATTTATAATTTATATCATTTTAATTGTTAATTTGTTGATTAATTTATTAAGTTTTTATTTTTTGTTAATTGTTAGATTAATTTGTTAATTAATTATTAGTTAAATTTAATTAAATTTGAATTATAATTAATTAGGTTAATTTGATTTAGGTTTAATTATTTAGTTAGGTTAATTTTGATGGTGACGGTATCCGTGGTTGTTGCATTGATATATTGGCAATGCCCGTGACTATGCCATTGGTATTTGCATTGTACGTGGATGTGGTATTGCCGGTGCAGGTGTCCGAGATCGTGGATTTGATAGTGGCACTAACACGTCGACATTCCCGTCAATAGTGCCCTCACCATTAATGCCCCTATCGGTAGTGCCCCGAACTATGGAGGTACGCATGACGGCTTCCTCGGAATAAATGATAAGTTATATGCTTTACATATGCTACCTAGTTTTATATTTTCATATATTATATTAAAATTATTAATTAATTATTAGTTTTTATTTTTTTGTTCGGTAGCTTATTTCCATCAAGTGCTCCACAAAAAAATCATCGTAATTTTCAATGAGCAATTACACATCGTTAGCTCCACATGAAAGATCTCCATGGAGATGAAAGATTTCTACTTTAAAGAGTTTAGGGTAACATATTAATTATTTATTTATATTTCATTGAAAGTATTATTTTAATGTGAAATATACAAATATTATTTTTTTCTTCATGTATAAGTATTTTTAATGAGATGCGACCATTGACTTGTTGATTAAGGATGCGTGTGAGAGTTGAACACGAAGGTGGTATAGCAACTTGTCGAACCGGTTGAAGCATGAGACTAATAGACACTCGCCTATGTTAAATAATACGTGTGGGAAATATGACACCGAGATTGAGCCATACTTGAGTTTTAGGCTCGATCTCGGTAGGCATCTTGGAACCGCATATCGGAGATTGGTAGTGTCGATGTTAGCCCATCCGGGGATACGGGAGGTTCATCTTTTTTATTGAGCTAACTAAATGTTTGATAAAT